CATTATGATTACTTCTTGTTTTTTGCAATGGCTACAGTTGGTTCTTCATACACTGATGATGCTCCAACACCTAATGTTCATAACTTGATGCATTAAACCATTATGTATTTTTCCTACAATTTTTTGGTGCTCCATAAGTTGGATTAATTACATGAATCAGTGTACTGTCAATCATTGTGTCACCATAAACTGTTTCTATTCCATTCATTACTGGCATTGCCTCTTCATACACAATTGGACCTGCTCCAATAAAAGACAAAATATAATAATTAAACATTATCATAACAGCCAAAATATCTCATGGTCATGTCTACTCAATAGAAATAGTTTATAAATAATGCATTTAACTGGAAGTTGGATATCAAAGCACTAATAAGAACAACAAATTGGGTTACTTTTTAAATGTACTTTGGCTTGATGTATGAGCATGTACCTTGTGATTCATAATTAGGATTACACATATCTTTCAATCCTTTGTGTTCTTTTCCATTTGGAGCAATATCAGAATAAGTAGCATTAACAAGACAAGTGTCATGTCCTCTAAAAGTCAACGTTGCTTTACTCCTTCTTTTATATGCTACTCCTATTAATATTAATATCACTATAATACTAATTATCATTAATACTAATACTGTAGCAACAATAGCAGCTATTATTGTAATTGTATTATCATTTCCAGTATTCCCTAATACTGTAGGCTCACTACTTCTAGTGACAGATGGTTCACTAATGGAATTTGATGATTTCTTTGAAGTGACTAATACTTCACTGGTAGGATTGCCTCGCGATACAGTGTTCTGTGTATCAGTGACTTCTGTTGAACTGATACTTCCTGTTGACAGTAGAGGATGACTACTTTCAATACTAGACAATGGTGTAGTTATTGACTCAGTAATAGAGAGAGTTGGAGAGGGAGTAATGGTAACGATTGAGCTACTTGACGAGGGTACACTGGTACTACTGATGGTCAATGAAGCAGCAGTGTCAATAACACTTCTTGATAGAACATTGGCAGCACTAGTGGTAGCAATGCTTGATAGGATATTGGTACTTGTAGTAACACTGGTTGATAAACCATTGGTACTAGTAGTAACACTGATTGACAGAGCATTGATAACACTAGTAGTATCACTACTTGACAAGCCATTAGTGAGGAATAATGACGTAGTGCTCAATAAGGAAAGAGTAGTAGTGTAATGTAAACTGGTAGAGTAGTGTATGACTTCTGTTGATGTAAGAGTGCTATTAGGTGTCATTATCATATCTGTTGTAGCGGGGGAGGATGATAGTATTGTCATTGTAGCAACAGTATTAATGTCTTCAGTAACAGTAGAGGATGAAGTTTTAGTAACTGAAGGAGTTGGCTCTAAAAAATTAACAATTTATAAAATAAATTAATGATTGTATTAAGAAATTAACTAATAATAACACTTATCATAACATAATGGTTAAAATTTTAAAGCTTATACCTACTGCAACTGATATCAGTGGATAGTCATTATGTTCCAATGGTATTAATCCATTACTGCTATCAAGCTCATAATTCAATGGTCCATTGTATTGTTGATAATACATTGGATTACTATTAGTGGTTCCATTGATTACTAATATATCTCCATACTCTACTTCAATGTCACTTGTAAAGTTATATACATTACCATTACTTGATGTAGCAGCAGAAGCATCAACAGTTAGTGCATAAATCAGTTCAGAAGAACGTTTTAAATAAATGTTAGGATAATGTTTGCTTGTATCCTGACTCTGTGTAATACCAATTATCCATTTAGTAATAATACCATTACATGTGAACTGTATATCAGGAAAAGCTCTTGTATCAGTGACTGGTATTACATTAGTAACTGATAGACTGTTTGTATTAATTTCAGTTTCAGTGAAAACATTCTGAAAACAGTTTGGAGGATCTAGATAATAACAAGAACCATTAATTTTTTATAAGCAAAGCTAGATCGACATACCGGTTTTGAGATATATCATAAAAACATTTTTTGTATTTTCAAAATTAATCACGCTTGACATTATCCTTCCAACTCTTTCTGTGCTGCTAGCTGTTGCTCTATATAATCTAACAACACTTGAATCATCTTCAGGTTGATACACTCCTAGTCTGTAAGTATTATAATTACTGCCACTGACACTAAAAGGAGTAGGAAGAATGTAACGATATAATCCATTAGTAGTGACATTATCAGGAGATAATGAAATTTGAATAATTCTTTGTAGCTGGTAAAAATAAGAGCCTCTTCTTTGCCTTAATTGCCATATCTCAATTCTAGGATACTTGTTCCTATTTCCATATTCTGATCTGATATCACCTCCAAGAACAACTTCTGTTACAGTAGCAGTACTGCAATTGAATGTATCATAGGCAAGGATCCATCTTCCTTCATTGTCCTCAGCTAAAGTATTATCAGCTAGTGAACCAACTGGTGTAGCTGCTTTAGCTACTAGTAGACTCAAGTCCATGAATCCTTCAGTACATACTCCTCCTCCTGTTGCTCCTTCATTACTAGCAACCAATAATAATAGGATAAGGACAGCAACTGAAAGAGCCGAGGAAAGAGCAGACATTTCTTGATTCTGCAGTAAGAGGGGGACAGTTTATTAATTATTCATTATGTCTACCTGTTGGAAAAACCACTCCTACTTCATTTAGGCTTCCACGTGTTGTCACGTGTCTACTGTCTAGTAAATAAAAGATCAATGAAGTTATGGCTCTACTAAGTAGAACATTTCGGATTAATAGGTACTACTTAATCTATTTTCATATTTTAACATTCTGTTCTAAATCTGTCTTGTTATTCTCGTCCGCAGGTAGCGAAGGGGAGGCCAGGGTGAGACTAGTACTTATACTACCAGAATGACTGTAGGGGAATGATCTGGCTAGTATAATGGGTATACACATACTGATACATACTCATGTGTACATGTGCTGTGATACAATTTCAAGTTAGAACTGATTCACTGATTGAAGCTTCTCCATTTTAATTTTTGTTAGATCTATCGTGATTGTTATCAATATTTAAAATGTTACTTTAAAAACTGCTTAAAGTTATATTACAATACATTTTAAAATAATACAAATAGCAAGGGATAAAATATCCATTAAATTTAATGAAGTTGGAATATATTAATAGAGACAGGGAAGGAGATACACAATCAGTTCTTGTACATGTACTGTAAGTCGGTGTAGAGGGAGTGGCTTGTTTCTAAAGCTCCACCCAGTACAGTAACAGGATCCTCTTTATTAATCATTAGTAATTGTTTATCAGGTGAGGATAGACTTGATGATATATCTGAGAAACTTGGACGATCATGAGTATCAGGATTCCTATATTAAATACAAATAAGGACATCAATATTCACTGGATTATCTTTAATTAAATTTATAAATATCACATTATATTAATTGTGTGTGGGCATTCATGAAAGCATGTTGTAGTTGAATGTGAAATGACAATGACACTGTAGTATGTGGATATGGTGCAGTTAGAGTAATGTGTGTGTGTGACCATATCTAATCTAATTGGGTGAAGTCATTACTTATGAGAATCTTGGTACGTATGTATGCAATTATGCGTACATTTGGGGGTGTGACTAGGAGGTGTGGCCAGAAGGCAGAGCCCCTCAATGTTTACATTCTTTTTAATTTAGCCATAGTTGACATATTTGGCTGCACTCTACCGACTCTAGTATGTTAATAAATTAAAATTCCATTAGTTGAAAACATGTTTGTGTTTTGTTAGTTACATGCATACATGTAGTAGCACTAATAATAAATACATACCAGCATTTCATCATTAGTTTATACATTGGTTTAGGACATCCTGGAGGAGGTGGTAATCTATAGCCTGAATCAACCAGTCTAATGCACTAAATTAATTAATAAAATACAATAAAATTTAAAAGTATAATATTAATGTTATACCTCTTGGTTAGTATATATTTCAAATGGTTTATGTCCTAAAGACCAAATCTCATACATTACAGCTCCATAACTCCACACATCACTAGCACTCGAATATTTCTTATAATGTAATGCCTATACATACACAATTCAATATTCTAATTATATAGTTTCTAATTACTTCTGGTGCTGTCCATTTTATTGGAATCTTTTTTGCTTGTGAAATATAATAAGATTCATCTTTTAGATCCCTTGACATACCAAAGTCACCAATCTGAGACCATACTATATAAAGTCCAATTGTTAGTACTAATCTCTTACCTTGCATATTCCTGTTCCTTCATCTGATACTAATATATTTCTTGCTGCAAGATCTCTGTGAACAAACTTCTTCCTTGACAAGTACTCCATTCCTGAAGCAATTTGACGACAAAATGAGAGCAAAATAGAAGGAACTGATGATAATACTAACTCCCCAGGACTAAGAGAAGAGAGAGACAAGAGATATTAGTCCAACTATTGATATAAACTTACGATGGTTTAAATTTGTTAAGATACTCTTTCAAGTCACCTCCAGATATCAATTCCAGTACTATCATTATCTATGTACAACATTTAATAATTATTAAAGAGTACAATCAT